CGAGTCCATTCGTGTAACTTTAATTACAGTATATTGTTATAATTGTTCTGTTGCATTATTGCTGTTAATTTTTTACAGAGCCTAATCTGTAAATTAAGCTTTATTGTAGGTATGTATGTATAGGAAAAAACATAGTATATAGGCTTCCAGGCCTATATACTTTGCCGTTAAGCTAGTAGCTTATTGGGCATATATGGCCAGCCATGTTCCTAAGTCTTTGGCATTGTTCATGGTTTTAGACATCCACGGGGGGTCTTAGAATGTACCCCGTGGATAAGGGGGACTACTGTATAAGATGCCCCTCCATCAGTTTTTATTTTTCTTTGCAGTATTTTTTGTTTTTAAAGAAATTGGCTCATTTCTCCTGAAGGATTTTCCACATTCTGTACGTTGTTGAGTGTATCCTATGATTTTTTTTAAAGATTATTTATTTAAGAGAGAGTGTGCATGCACTTGAGCAGGAGAGAGACAAGCAGACTCAGCGCTGAGTGCAGAGCCCGATAGGGGGCTTGATCCCATGACCCTGAGTCTGTGACCTGAGCTGAAACCAAGAATCAGACACTCAGCCAACTGAGCTACCCAGGTGCCCCTGTATTCTATGATTTGTTTTGATGTTCTCCAAGAACAAAGCACAAAAGTAGTTCTGGTATCCCCTGTAGTTCCTATAAGTGGGTAGTTAGATCAGTGCTGTTAAATATGACCCACATGTCCTATTTTTAAAAGTAAAATTTATTTTAATGCTGTATTTTTGCTTAACCCAGTATATCCAGAAATTATTTCAGTGTGAAACACATAAAAATTATTGATGGGCTATTTGACAGTCTCTCTGTACTAAGTCTTGAAAATACAGTATCTGTTTATGCTTCTAGCATATCTCAATTTGGATGCTGTATTTTCCTCAGATATATTTGATCTGTAATTAGCTATCTTACACTTGATCTTAGCCAAGAAGTGGTATGTATTTAGCTATCTTAAACTTTACAATAGAAAAAAAGAACCACATATACTAGTTTGTTACAGATATACTTTAAAGTTCTCTAGAAACTAAGTTGAATATCAGTTTTTAAATCAGTCAACAATCATTAAAATCAGTAGTCACATGTGGGCTTACGGCTACCATATTAGCTCAGATCCAGAGGTTTGATTAGGTTCAAGTTTGGGGGTTTGTTTTGGTCAAGACTACCTCATAAGTGACGTTGTTAACACCCATCAGGAAGTTGGTGATGTCTGGGTATGGTTCTTTTTGTATGATTTGGAGTTGTGGTTATTGCCTCAATTGATTAATTTGTCTGTGGTTGCAAAATGGTGATCTTCTTAATTTATTTTTATTAACTGGAATACTCTGAAGAGAGATTTCCTCTTATTAGTCATTAGGTTACCCTGGGGTACAGTTTATATAGGAAAGGTGCATATATATGCACTTGATTCTCTTATTTTACTAGTTTATAAAATAATGAGCTGGTTTTCTGACATTGTCAAGATCTGTTCATTGAGTTGTTTGTTTTTTTAAGATTTTATTTATTTATTTGAGAGAGAGTGGGAGAGATCACAAGTAGTCAGAGAGGCAGGCAGAAGGGGAGGGGAAGCAGGCTCCTTGCTGAGCAGAGAGCCTGATGCGGGGCTCGGTCCCAAGACCCTGAGACCATGACCTGAGCCAAAGGCAGAGGCTTAACCCACTGAGCCACCCAGGTGCCCCTGTTCACTGAATTGTTTTTGTGTCATTTTGAACTTAATGGATTTAAACATGTGAGATGTATTGTACTCTGTTGTGGTTGTTATTCTTGTTGATCAAGTTGCATCTTAGGCCGGTGGGAACCATTGGCTTCTGAATCATTTTGACAGAACTCTTACAGGCTTTTATGTCTTCACTGCTTTCTGGTATGTCCAGGCTCATCCTTAAGGTCTGGCATTAGCCATTTCTCTCTGAGAAGTTCTGACTTCTTGTAGTGGGAAATGCTGTTTAGCAACTACCATCTGAACACCAGAGTGCTCATGACTGCTGGGTTGCTCAGTTCTTCTAGAATGTTTCAGTAGACTGGGCTACAAGGTGCATTTTTTATTTTGGAGGGAAAAGGTGAGTTTATATTGATACTTCAATTGAAATTGTAATTTTCACAGTTTAACATCATTGATTTTATGGTTGAGTCTCCCCAATTATTCATGCTAAAAATCTTGGTTCCTAGCAACATTAACATAATTAACATATTTTACTTTATCCTATTCTGTATATAATAGTTTGAAAATCACAATGAGGTATTATTAGTAACAACTTATGTATGAATGCCGTTGAAGATTTCCTTGAGGTCCTTTTTGCCGTTAAGCTACTAAGCTAGTAGCTTATTGGGCATATATGGCCAGCCATGTTCCTATATTTTAAAGTAATTTGAAAGAATTCTCTGAGTGTTTAACCAGCTTAATATATTGTCATGTTTCTTTGTTTAGTTTTTCATTTTTAAGGGGGTTGCTCATTTTTGCATTTTGACTTCTTTTTCCAAATTTATTTTGAAAATTTTCAAACCTACAGAAAAATTGGAAGTACAGTGCAGTGAACACCCATATACCTTTCACTGTAGATTCACCAATGAACATTTTTCCAGTTTTTTCTCTTTCCATCTCTCTTGATTCCCTCCTTCCACACTACACATTTTTTGTTTTTGCTGAACCATTTGAAGGAAGTTACAGACTTCAACTCTAAATATTTCAGCATGCTAAGAACAAGGGATTCTGCTCCATAACTGCAATTCCATATTATACCTAAGAAAATTAATAATAATTTCATATCTAATATATGGCCCATATTCACATTTCCCCAGTTGTTCCAGAAGTGTTTTTTATAATTGTTTGTTTTAAGCTATGATCCAGTCAAGGTTTATGTATTGCTTTTGGGTGTTCTATCTTTTTAGTTTCTTTTAATGTGGAGCAGTCCCTCACATTCTTTCATGACACTGATCTTTCGAAGAGTCTGTGTGTTGTCTTGAATGGCTGTGTTATGGATATGTTTGTTTCCTTTCATTATTTTTTTAAAAAATTTTTTAAAGATTTTATTTATTTATGACAAGAGTGAGAGATCACAGGTAGGCAGAGGGACAGGCGGGGTGGGGGGTGGGGGGTGGGGAGCAGGCTCCCTGCTGAGCAGAGAGCCGGATGCGGGGCTTGATACAGGATCCTGAGATCATGACCTGAGCCGAAGGCAGAGGCTTAACCCACTGAGTCACCCAGGCGCCTCTGTTTCCTTTCATTATTGTTTAATTTGTTCCACCTACCCTTGTGTTTCTTATAAATTGGAAATTCGATCTAGTCTGGAGACTTGATGGATTTGGGTTAAGTAATGTTTTGGCCAGAATATTTCATTGGTGATGCTGTGTACTCTATATTGCATCATGCCAGGAGATATGTAATGTGAGGATGTCCTGCTATTCATGATGTTAAGCTTGATCCTCTGTTAAGGTATCGATTGCCAGATTTCATACCTTTGTAAGTAGTAAGTAATCTTTAGGGGGATTCTCTGGTATCTTGTGAATATCTTGTTCCCAACAGTTTTTTGGCCCTGTGGTTTTCACATTTTGATTTAATTTTTTTTTCATAATTCTGCAAATTTTCATATGGTCTAAAGCTGAAAGTATAATACAAGGTACATAAAGAGAAGTTTCACTTTCCTTCTTGTCCCCTTTGCCTCCCTTCTGCTATGTGTAATCATTTTAATTAGTTTTTGGATTATCCTTTTTTTGTTGTTGTATTTTAAAAATACAAATATATTTGTATGTAAATATACTCATATTCCTTCTCTTAGATAAAAAACAGCAGTCTCTTGTGTACCTGGCATATTTGCGTATTTCAATTATAACCTATGCGAGACACTACTTCTTAACAGTATATAGAGCTCTATAGAAGGGCTTTTCTAAAATATATGTATTTATATATACATTTGTGTGTATTCATGTCCTTCCTGTGCTTGAAGTCATTCAGTGGTACCTCACCTCCCTTTGGATAAAGTCAAGACCTCTTATAAGACTTAAAAGGCCCTTTATCATCAGGCTTCTGCACGTCTCCAGCCTTGCCTCTTCCCCCAGTGTGCATGCGCACGCGTGCACGTGCACACTCACAGTTGTTACTACTGCCGTACTGAATTGCCCTTTCTTTGGCTTTTGAAATTTATTAAAACTGATTACTTTTTTGAATTGCTTTGATTTCCTTGAATGAACCATGAGCATATCCTTGATTTTGCATGTGATGCTCCTGTCTGCATAGGCTATTCTTTATCTCTGTCCTCACTTTCATCCCGTAGGCCTGAGCTTAAGCATATTCCTGGAGGCCTTCCCTAGTCCCAGAATTATTCATGCTCTTCTTATGTGCTGACCCTACACCATCTGTTTATCATTGTTTTGGTATTCACTGTACAGTGTTCTGATTGTTTATATATATGCCTTCCTCTGTTAGTCCATGAGCTCTGTAAGCACAGGAACCATGGCTCACAGGATATGAGGGCCCCAGTGCCTGGCATTTGGAATGCATTCAGTAAATATTTATTGACTTAAAGTGGCAGAAAGGCACAAGCCCAGACATGCATTGCAATATCCATAAGACCTAAAACCAAACTCAAATGGAATTTGCTCAGATGTGGTGATCTGAGCAGAAAGCGTGAGTTGCCTTGTTCATTGTGGAGCTGTAGGTGGAGTCCAGACCAGCCTGTGTGGGAGCCTCTAGGTCACCCTGGGATGGTGCTGGCTCAAGGCCTGGGCTGAGAGCCAGAAAGGGGCACCACCAGCTGCTCCTCCTGAGAGACAGAGAGGTTGACGGCCTGGGGGAAGGGCTAGAGATGAGAAAGTGGCATCAGCCTGTAATTTCCAGGGATGGTGGGAATGGAGGAGACGTGCTAGGGAAGAAGAACCTGTCTTCAGCATGGAGCAAGTGCTCAGGCCCTGCTTAGTGGAGCATCTCTTGTGGGGGCCTGAGCTCAGGGACCTGGCCCCTCTTGATGTCATTGGGTCTGGGGTTTACAGGATGCCCAGGCTGAGGAGGAGATCAAACAGGAGATGAATACACTGCAGCAGAAGCTGAATGAGCAGCAAAGTGTACTCCAACGTATTGCTGCCCCCAACATGAAAGCCATGGAGAAGCTGGAAAGTGTCCGAGACAAGTTCCAGGAGACCTCAGATGGTAAGATTTTATTACCCCTTTTACTTTTACTGTCTAAGGTGAAGACAGAAGGCTGAAGTTACAGCAAGGGCCTGTTACACATCACAGCAGCTCCCATTTTTATCTGCTTTCTGGAAACTCCCAAGAGCCCTAAACCATAGGGGTTAGTTACCACACCTGTCTTACAGAGCAGAAAACTGCTGAAGTTCAGAGAGGGTCATTGGCCTATCCAAGGTCACACAGCTGGTTGCTGGTTGAGCCCAGAGTAGAATTCATGTTTGTGTGGCTCCAGGCCCATGTTTCTTCCTTTGTGCTGTGTGGCCGGCCTGATGGTTACAAGTGGTTGTGGGGCCATTTTCCTGGGGTCCTTCCCAAACATTCCTCTCTCTTTGGGATGTCCCTGCTCTGTGAATTGTCATTTACAGGTCATTCTTGCCAGGGCATGGTCCTCAGCCTTGGCAGAGCCTGGGCACTGAGGAGTCACCTGTCTTTCCCTTGTGGCAGAGTTTGAGGCAGCCCGAAAGCGAGCCAAGAAAGCCAAGCAGGCATTTGAACAGATCAAGAAGGAGCGCTTTGACCGCTTCAATGCTTGTTTTGAATCTGTGGCCACCAACATCGATGAGATCTACAAGGCCTTATCCCGCAACAGCAGTGCCCAGGTAGGCTGGAGTCCCTTACCCAGCTAGCCCCAACCATCACGTTGCCCTGCCCTTTAGGCCTCCTGTCCCTGTCCTCATCTAGACCAGACCCAGATTCTGACCCATCTACCTTCTCCCTAGGCATTCCTGGGCCCCGAGAACCCCGAGGAGCCCTACCTGGATGGCATCAACTATAACTGTGTGGCTCCTGGCAAACGCTTCCGGCCTATGGACAACTTGTCAGGGGGGGAGAAAACAGTGGCGGCTCTGGCTTTGCTCTTTGCCATCCACAGGTAAGGCTGCTCTTCCCAGGGCAGTTGACGGAGAGACTGAACTGAGGCCACCAGAGGCTCTGGGGCCTAAGGACATGCAGAGATCTGCAGAGGTGAAGATGTTCTGGTGGAATCTGGATTGCGTCCCTGTTTCCCTATCTACTACAGCACATCTGGCCTTGGTTTCCTGGACCTGTCTTTCCCATCCACCCTCATCTACTCAGCATGCCCTCACTGGCCCCCGCATGTATTCAGTCCCACCACCAGGCTTTTGCTTACATGGTTGCTGGCTAATTAGCCCTTTCTATGCAAATCTAGCTTGACCATCACCACACCTTCACATCTCATTTTCCTCCTCCTGTTCCTCTAGGAAGCCTGCTTTGACCAACTGTGGCATACCCTGACCTCCCCCTCCTGAATGCCAGTAATACTTGAATCTGACCCCCACAACTTAATACTTGATTGTACAGCATCATTCAGTGAGCATTTCTTGAGGGCTGCTCTGTGCCAGACTCTTGGGGGATTAGGGACACAGATGTGTCAGACATGGTCTCTGTCCTTGAGGAGCTCATGGTCTAATGAAAGCCAGATGTGTAAACAGTGAGCTAAGTGTTGTAACCGGGTGAGTGTGTATGTTGTGGATGCACAGAGGAGGGACACCAACCCAGCGTGGGGGAGGGTGTGGGTGGCCAGGAAAGGTTTTCGAGACCAGGTAACACTTGAGCAGGAAATGCAAAGGATGAGTAGAAGTTAGCCGAAGACACCCGGAGGTGTTCTAGGCAGCTGGGTGCCTCATGTGCCGAGAGGCAGGAAGCCACAACAGTGTGGTGCAGGTGGGTGGGGTAGACCTCCAGGTAGCTTGGACAGAGTGGTCAGAGCCTAGGACAGCTCTATCTCCCCAGCCGGTCTGGAAGCTCTGGAGAGAACCATGTCTTCTCCTGGTTCTATAGAATCCTGGAGCACAAGGTTGGTTGCACAAGAGGGTTCAGTTGGTAAACTGGCCTTCTGGGGCTCAGGCAACATTAAGGCCTGGGTTTTTTAGTCTCTGAAAAAGTGGAGGGTGATGCTGGCCTGTGAGATGGGCCCTGGGGCTATCCTGCCTCACCCCTGCCCCCATCAGTGTCAGCTCACCTACTGGTTCCCTCCCAGCTACAAGCCAGCCCCCTTCTTCGTCCTGGATGAGATCGATGCTGCCCTGGATAACACCAACATTGGCAAGGTGGGTGCAAGGAAAGTGGGGCCCGGGAGGGAGGCCCCTAGGTTGGGGCTGGGTTTCAGGGAGCAACTCCTGAGTGTGCTCTAGCCGTTCCTGCTGCCTGCTCTCTGTGCCCGGGAGGCTGGGCCCAGGGCCATCCATCCACGCCGTGCTATTCAGTGGCCTCTCAGGCTCTCTTCCCCCTACCCTCCACCCCTTACCCCACCCTCTGCCTCTGGTTCTGACTGGAAAACACAAGGGAGCGTTAGGGTTTCAGCCCTGCTAAGTGCCTGGCGGCCCCTCCCACAGGTGGCAAATTACATCAAGGAGCAGTCGACTTGCAACTTCCAGGCCATCGTCATCTCTCTCAAGGAGGAGTTCTACACCAAGGCTGAGAGCCTCATTGGAGTCTACCCCGAGGTAGGGCGGGCCTGGCTCAGGAGCCAGCCCCACTCCCTGCCTGACTCCCCAGGGCAGGAAGGGAAGGCTGCAGTGGAGGGCCATGGGGGCGGGGGAGCATAGGGACTCAGGACCTGAACAGCCATCTGGGCTTGTTGGAGCCCTGCCCTAGAGGCTTAGCCAGCCCAGCTGGGCAGGGCTATTGCGTCTGGGGACAGGTGGAAAGGCCAGGCAGAAGAGCCAGACAGCAAAGAAAAGGAGGAGAATGCAGAGGTAGGCAGGGAGAAAAGGCACATGGGACCGAGCACATCCTCACACCCAGAGAGAACCATTGCCTGGGCTTTGGGCAGGTATGTAGGGAGGAGGGTTTGAGGCCCCCGGTCCTGGGGCGCCAGACCCCCCCCCCTTAATTCTCTCCTTACAATTTCATTTTTCTTTTTCTCCCTCCTCCTTCAGCAAGGGGACTGTGTGATCAGCAAAGTCCTGACCTTCGACCTCACCAAGTACCCAGATGCCAACCCCAACCCCAATGAGCAGTAGCAGTAGTACTGCCCTCTTGCCCTGTCTGGATCCCTAAGCTGCCCCTTTCCCAATCTCTGGATATTTGGCTCCCAACCTTCCCCTACCTCCCGTCCCTGTTTGGTATAGTCATGGGATTTAGGCATTGCTGTCAAGCACGAAGAGGAACAGAGGTGATATTAGGTCTGGAGCAAAAATTCCTGAGCTTCAGGGAGCATCCTGGCCTTTGGAAGGAGGTGCTGAGCTGAACTGAGCTGAACAGGGCCATCTGTCCATCCCCTATCTTCCCCTCTCCCAGACCTCCCCCCTCCTCCCTCCTCCCATCACCCATAATCATGGGTTGGGCCCCTTGCATCTTGCTTGTGTGTGGGTATGTATGTGTGTATATATGTGTCCGCATGTGTGCATATGGGCGTGCTTGCAAAATAATAAAAGATATTGGAGATCCATTTTAGAAGGAGCCTAGGCTGAATTTGATTCCAAGAGAGCTTAGTATGACAGCACCCCAGAGCTGGGCAAAGGTATTCAGGACCTCATAGGAATCAGTCACATGAAATTGCCCTCATTCACTCATTTGTGTTTTTGTTCATTTGTGTATTCATCAGACATATATTGAACACCTTCTGTTTGTCAGGCTCTAATTCTAGAAATACGAGCTAAATCAGATATGGTCTCTACCCTCCTACCAAGGAGATGCAGTGGGTTCATGGTTTCTCGTGATCAGCTGAATCATATTTATAGGTACTTTGAGTTTGAGAAGAGGATGATCACCTCCAGGCTTCCTGGAGAAGGTCACATTTGAGCTGAACCTTGACAAATTGGTAGGATTTGGTTGGGCACTAGGAGTGGAACCTGGGCTCTGGGGACAGACATTTGTGGGTTCTAGTCCTTTTTTTTAAATCACTAGTTTGATGTTGGGTAAGTCATTTGACCTTTCTGTGCCTCAGTTTCCTCATCTGTAAAATGGGGCTAACAATATTACCTACCTCATAGGATTTAATGATGTCAAGCTCCTTACTGGGGGCCTTATCCCTGCTTGGAGCCCACTAGGTGCCAACCCCTCAGAATATAAGCCTTCTCATACCTGGACCCCTGAGGGCTCTGATCCCAGTTGTTGGGGACGGAAAGAACCTCCAGATCTGGGAGATGCTAAATGCCTTGGTTACTGAGAAAGTTCCAGGGCACTGATGGGGTTTACCCGGTAAGTGAAGGGCTTAAGGAAGCCTATAGCTTCAATCATGTATGGTAACCAGGTGCCTGGGCCCCAACCCGGGTCATGAGGAAGTCGGGGAGAGGTAGCCTGGGCCACATCCCGGCCGAATGTGTGTGAAGTTCCTTCTGGGAACTAACCTGTGTCAGCTGCAGGGACCGTGCAGAGGCAGCAGAGCCTGCTGCCATGAGGTCAGCCTATGCTCGTTCTCATACACTGTCAGACCATCACCTTGTCCTGATTGTATACCGCATTCTTGTTTCTTCAAAGTTAAATTTGTTCTGATTACTCAAGTGACTCATGAATCCATTCTCTAAGACGTCTGATTTATAAGTAGAGCTAGCCTTGTTTGACTACCATTGCCCGTCCCCTTCTAAACTGCTGTTATGTTTGTTGTACATCCATCTAGACAGTTTTAAGACTTTGACATATATGAGCTCATTGAAAATATTGTGTATTTAATACAAATGGTATATTGAGTCATTCTGCAATTTGCTTTCCTTATTTAACAGTTTTTGAGATCTATGCATGTTTTTGCTAAATGTAGATTCAATTCATCCTTTGTAATTGCCGTATGGAGTGCCATCATATGACTCTGTCACATCGTACCCATTTCTTTTGTGATAGCTAGTTAAGACTGTCTTCTCTTTTTGCTATTACAGAATACAACACAGGAACATTTATGTGTGTGTGTGTGTGTGCGCGTGCGTGTGTATATGAGTTTATCTAGGGTTACTTCCTAGAAGTTGAATTGCAGAGTCATAGACTATTTATATTTTTGTTTTAAATAGAGGCTTCCAAATTGCCCTCCTGTACTATTTACTCAATCTTTTTCTTGAGGTTGTCTTAGGTGTAACATTGTTATCTACTTCTGTTTCATCCTAAGTAGTGATATCCATGAAACCATGGGTTTGATATGCTAATTATGTATTTTTCTAATACATATTGAAAGGCATAACTCAAAATAAATTTGTCTTTGTTCAACCAAAGAAGTCACATACCACCAGTGGTACATGTGCTGTAGTTTGGGAAATGCTGGCATATCTGAAAGCACAATTTGGGAGTCGCCCTGGTTCAAATCCTAGCTGTAGAAACTTGAGCTCATTACTTCACCTCCCTGGATCTCAGTTTCCTCACATAGAAAATGACTTAATCTGTGCCCTATTTTGCAGCAACATAGGGAAGATGAAGTGTGCTGGAAGGAGTTTGGCTGATACCTAGATCATCCCAGGCCTTTCAGGGTAGCAATTGCTATTTGCCCCACTTTACAGATGAGGAAACTGAGGCCCAGGAAGTTTAAGTGACCCAGCTACCAGGTAACAGTAAGAATTTGAACCCAGGCCCCCCCCAATTCAGTCTTGTGCTTTCTCCACTACAAGGGTGGTTTTCAACCTTGGCTCTGCACCAGAATCACTTGTGAAGATTTTTCTTTTTTCTTTTTTAAAAATCAAAGCAATATATACACCAGTTAGTGTATAGGAAGTAAAATAGTACAGAAGGGCTTACAATGCAAAGCAGCTGTTCCCTGCTGCACCCCCACATCCAAAGGATGTGGAGCTCCTTGCTCTGGTCCCACCCCTGGAAATCTAATTCAGTAGGTGTGGATAATAATCTGGATACCTAATTCTTACCTCACACGGTGGAAAGGATTAGATGAGATGCCTTGGACTAAAGCCCTGGCCCACAGGGACATAAGTGCTGCAGAGCACTTAGGTCCTAAGGATCAGAGAGGTGAAAGGCTTTGTCCTAGAACCCAGTGGGTCATTGGTAGAATCTAGACTTCAACTAGGAGGGATCTCTGCTTGCCCAGTGCTTTCCCACTGTGCCACCTTCTTTCTATCATCACAAAGGAGCATCTGCTCAGTGAAGGCTGCTCAGGTGAGAGCTTATGGCACAGTGTTTCCAGGAGTAAGCTGGATCCAAATAGAATCCCTAGGACTTGTTGGAGGATGCTAGGTTGACTCCCTTATACCCTGGACCCAGTAGTCTAGGGAGTTGAAGAGTGCTCCATGACCGTGTTTACCTTTAACTGGGCACTTCACTCTGGGAATCACTGTGTTGCCCACCAGGGACATAAACATGAGTCAAATCTTTACCCTGCCTTTGAGGAGCTTACTAGTTAGGGGAGGCGATTCCTAGAACAGCCGTTAACCATGCAGTCTGATAGCCCTCTGATAGGAGTGTGGAAAAGGAAGGGCCTGTAGCTTATACAGAGGTTCAGGGAAGGCATCCTCTAGTCTAGGAGGTGACACCTGACCTGAGTCTTGAGAGCCTGGTAGGAATTACCTAGTTGAAGTGGAAGGAATTTTCAGGGAGTGGGGACAGTATGCACAAAAACCTGAGACAAGAAACAGCAAAAACCGTTCAGAAGTACTGAAACAAGGTTTAACAGAGTTCAGATTTCTCTCATGAGACAGTGTGGTTCCCAAACTGGCTATGCACCAGAACCATGTGGAGCATTCTGGGCCCCATCCTCAAAAAGTTTGATTTCTGTAACTGGGGTGAGGCCTCAGGATCTTGAGTGCTTAGAAAAATGAGCACATGACTGTAGGGTATAGCCAGCTTTGTGAACTATAGCCAGAAGGCAGTGTGGGAGCCATGGAATGGCTTTAAGCAGGGGAGATGCTGGGTCGGATGTGAATTTAATAAACCTCTTTCTGGTCAGCCACTGGAAATGGATTAGGTTAAATGTGCATACTATATGCTCCCACGCCTGTAGTTTTCCCCTTGGCTCAATTTCTCACTGTGTGTTTGCTTGTTTTGTCTCTGAGTAAACAGAAAGCACCACAGGGATGGGTCTGGGGTTATCTTGCTACTGGCGTATCCCCAGCAAAAAGCACAGTGCCTGACCCAAAACAGGCACCCAATAAATAGTTTTTGAGTGAATGAATATGTGAATGAATGCATTTGTGATGGAGAATGGAGACAGGGGAGATCAGCTAGGAAGCTGGTGAAAAGCCCAGGAGGCCTACTCAAGGGCAAGGGCAGTGGGAATGGATTGGAGGCAATAAAAGTGTGAGCCAGACTTGATGACTGAGGATCACTGGATGTGGAGGGTGACTGAGAGGATAGAATGAGTGCCCATCAGTAGCCCAGATTCCTACCCTATTCCAGTCATTCTCTTTCCTCATCCATCTAAGTCAGAATCTCCTTCCAGCCTCAGCCACTGGAATTTTTCCCTCAAGTTAGTTAAAAGTTTCTGTGTGTTGTGTGGTCCCCTCCCTCCCCCTCTCCCCCAAGCCATTGATTCATTCATCCAGTTCAATAAATCTTGGCTAAGCACCTCCTGTATGCAGTGAGGCTCTTCCAAGCCAGGACTCTGACTCCCTCTTTCCTACCTCAAGAGATGTTTTTGAGGGCTTCCCCAGGTAAGACTCCCATTCCTTAGACAGTAACCTAAAGTGAGATGCCCAGATGTCAGACCTGTAAGGGAACTTACAGACTTTGTCCAACCCCCTCCTGAGGCCCTGGGAGGGGAAGGAACTTGCTCAAGGTCCCATTACTAGAAAGTTTCAGAGCCAGAAGTGGAACCTAAGTTCCCTTTCCACATCACCACTAGAGCCTTGATCTCTCCCTTCACAGATAGGACAGGCAGAGGTGGCCAGGGAGAAGGTGGGACTTAGGTTGGCCTTGAAGGTTGGAGTACTGGACAGGCCAAACAAGAAGCTTGCCAATTACACTGCCCCCTTCTGGAAACTGTCAGCTAACCTGCCATGCCCACAGTCCCTTCTAAGGGGTTTCTTAAGCATGAGTTGCCATGCTCTGTACCATGTGACCTCACAGTCCTGGCCACAAATGGTTTGGGATAGTATCTGACTCAAGGACAGCCAATCTCTAGGCCATAGCCTATTAGGTGGATGGGTGTAAGAACTCCACCTCATAGGGATGGCCTGTATCAAATGGCCTCCAGGGAGGCTAAATGTGAGGCATTCAGAAGTGAACTATTAATTAGCATTTAGCAAGACAGATGGATGAGGGGTGCCAGAAGCTGAACAGCAAAAGCAAGGAGAAAGCTGCAGGGACCATGAAACATTTATATCATGAGAACGTGGGGCCACAAGGTAGCAGAAGCCATGAAGCAGCAAGACAACATTGGGCCAAAAGGACACAGAAGCCATGAAGCAATAGGAGCCACAATGTAGCAGGAGCCATGAGGAACAGAAACCATGAGACAAAACCCTGAATGTGAGATCCATGAAGCAGCAGAAGGCTTGAATGACAAGATCCAGGAGGCAGTAGAAGCAATGAGACTCTCAGAGCCACAAGGTAGCAAGGCAACAGGAATCGAAGAGGCTGCAGGAATGACCAGGCAAACAGAAGCTACAAGAGAAGCCCTGGATGAACTAGAACCGAAGCCCTGGAAGCCAGGAAGCTGGAGCCAGGAGGCCAAGAAGCAATGAGGCCCGCGAAGGCCAAGCACTAGCAAGGAGAGTAGCAGGAAAAAAAAGAAAGGTAGTCTAAGTAGCAGTAGGAGGAGTATAAATACAGCCAGAAAGAAGTTGAGTCACCATTTTGGGAAGCACTAGAGAAGGGAGCAACAGATGCCTGCAGCTGAGGGGGTGACAAGATAAGCCAGGCTCTAGAGCTGCTTTGGATCGTGAACCAATTTCGAGTTTCTGTTCCTCCATGAGGCTGCCTGTGTAGCTGTTTTTGTCTTCCTTATTTCCCTATGAATGCTTCAATAAATCTCCATCACTAACCTGAGTGTGTCTGTTCTTGTAATCTAAAAGAAGTTAACACTGGTGTGCACTGTAGATGGGTGGAAAGCAGGGCAGAAGGTCTTCCACGTGGGTTTGAAACCAGACACAGGTGGGAAGTCATTCTTTCTTTCACATCCTCACTGGCACAGGCACTTCTCATTCATTTATGTATTGGCTTCTTTTTCTCATTCGTTCAGCCACTCGTTCATCTGTTTACCTATTAGTGGAGAACTCATTCATTTTCATGTATTCTGCACTCAGGCATTGATGTAAGTACTCATTTGTTGGCTCCTTTGTTGTTTCTCGGATCCACTTTGTCATCACTTTTGCACCCATTTGGTCAGCAAGCACACATTGAGTTCCTGCATTATGTCAGGCCTTGTGCTAGGTTCTGGGGATGAGATATACTCCCCAGAGTCTAGGAATTCACAGTTTAATTGGGGCCGCAGGTGAGTGTACCAAAGGCGAGAGATTATAGAGCAGAAGTCTAGATGAGGCAGGGTGAGAATATAGGACCATTCCTTTGTGGGATGGGGTAGGATGGAGGGAGTACTCAGGCAAGCCTTTATAGAGAAGAGGGTGCTTGAACTGAATCTTGAAGGAAGAGTTGGTATTTACCATGTAGAAAGGGTAGCTATAGAATATTCCAAGCAGAAGAGCTGCCTAAGTAAAGTTCTCTGAAGAGTGTGGAAGTGCATGGATTTTGGGGGGAATGGATATTGGAAAAAGTGGTAAAAACCAGGCAGTCGAGCTTAGCTTTGACCCTGTGGGCAATGGGAAGCTGTAGAAGGGTTTGACGGAGTCAGATTGGTATTTTAGGAAGATCATTCTGGTAGCCAGTGTGAAAGATGGTTGCAAGCATGAGATACTGACCCAAGTAATCTACTTGGGAGAGAGAACATCTAAGTGTCATAACTAGGGGTACAAATGAAGACTTGGGAGTCCCTGAGGAGCGAGGAAAAAGTTCTACCAGGAGACCAAGGAAGACTTTGGAGGTAGAATTTGAGCTGAGCCTTGAAAAATAAGTAGAGAGGATCCCAACTGGTAGACATGAGGAGTAAGCGCTCTCCAGGCCTGGGAGATGAAAACAAGCCAGGAGGTGGGTGTAAATGGGATGACTGCAGGCTAACAAAGCTTGCAGTTTGACTGCAGAAGAGCTGCACAGAAGGGAGAGGCAGGAAGGGAGACTGCCAGTTTGCTGAAGTTTATTTCTATTCTGCCGCCATTAGGTCTGCAGGAACAAGGGAATTTGGAGGAAGGAGTGGGCAGGAGTGTCCTTTTTCTGTGTTTTTAAAAATTAAATACGTGTTCATTTTAAAATAGAGGTAATGCAGGCATGTTATTTAGAAGACATCAATAAACTTAAATCGTTACAAAAAGATAGGAAAAGTGAGTTCCACAGCCCCACTCCCACTCTACCACCTTTCGTTATTAGCAACCACTTTTAGTTATTTCTTTTGATTGTGACCTCCATTTCTAAGTATTGTGTTATGTGAGCATTTGTCTTTTATCAGTTTCAGACATTAATCCATTGGTGTCCTGCTATGACAAATGATTTAGATTACACCAAGTTCAATTCTTGTCTTACCCGCTTCTCATATAATTTAGTTTCTGTACTACTTTTCTGAATTTAAATAGCACCTTTATTTCATTTTCCATGACTTAGAGACAATAATTCTTAACAACCAGAACTTTGTTAGATGAGAATGTCTTTTCTTTTTTACACGT